CTTCTTCTTTTTCCTACCTTTTTGCACTTTTTTTGCTTTTTAGGTTTCTTAAAGATGCTTTAATTGCTGAAATTTTAGCTAATGTTTTGCTGCTGTTAGCTGAAGTTACTTTCCTAAGCTAAATACACATTTTTTGTAGCTATTACAACTTTTTTCACCTAAGTTCAGCCAACTTGTGCTCCTTATGCTTTCTTATGTTAATTAAATGATTTCCAGCTTTCTTAGCTGTTTCACTGAAAATTTCAGCTGTTTTAGCTATTTTACAACAAAATATCACTTTTTTGTACTTTAAGATAAATACACATTTTTATGTAGCAATTACAACTTATTTCTGCTAAGTTTCAGCAAACTTGTCCTACTTATGCTTCCGTATGCTAATTACAGAATTTACAGCTATTTTTTAGCGGTTTTACTGAAAAATTTGGCTGTTTTGGCTAATTTACTACAAATGGCTATTTTTGTACTTTTATGCGTTTTTCTGCAATTTTTAAATTTGTACAGCACTTTCACTATGTAGGTGCTAATTTCAACTATTGGATGACATTTTTAGCTTGTTTTATGCTAATTTTAGTTTTTTTGCTATTTTAGCTGCAGGTCTGCTTCTTTTTGCCTTTCTGCTTTTTTCAACTTTTTGTGCTTTTTTCTGCTAATTTGAACTACTTACGCTTCTTACAGATGTTTTCAGCTATATTCTGCTATTTTAGCTCTTAGCTTTTAGCTGTTTCACTGAAAATTTCAGCTGTTTTAGCTATTTTGCAACAAAATATCCTTTTTTGTACTTTAAGATAAATATATATTTTTATGTAGCAATTAGAACTTGTTTCTGCTAAGTTTCAGCCTTGTCCTCCTTATGCTAATTAAAGAATTTACAGCTATTTTTTTAGCGGTTTTACTAAAAAAATTGGCTGTTTTAGCTAATTTACTACAAATTGTTAATTTTTGTACTTTTATGCTTTTTTCTGCTATTTTTAAATTTGTACAGCACTTTCACTTATGTGCTAATTTCAACTATTGGCTGATATTTTTAGCTTATTTTATGCTAATTTTAGCTTTGTTTGCTATTTTAGCTGCAGGTCTGCTTTATTTTTCAACTTCTTGTGCTTTTTTCTGCTAATTTGAACTACTTACGCTTCTTACAGATGTTTTCAGCTATATTCTGCTGTTTTAGCTCTTAGCTTTTAGCTGTTTTCTGTTGTTTCCAACTAGATTTGTGCTSCTTTTTACAGTTTTTCTGCAAAGTCAGACTTTTTTGCTTCWTTCAGCTTTTCAACGTGAGCTCACATTAACACTTTTGCTATTAAATATTTTCATGCTGGTACATGTTAGTAAACCAGTTTGCCTGCAGAGAACACATGCAGTCTTACCCAGCTGAGCTTGCTGCCAGCCCAAAGTGGAGCAGAGTAGAGCCAGACTTTTCCCACTGCCTGTGGGACTCTCCAGTAAAGAGTGCTGYCCGTAGTTCAAGCCTCTTATTATCTGCAGACAGAAAACATGTGAACATTAACAGTCTTATAGAGCGGTAAACTAAACTACGACCAACACATGTGCAGTGTGTCACACAGCTAAGTGTGTTTTAACAATAAACTGTAAGAAACTGCTTGTGCCTTGGTAAATATCCACCTACAATGTTCAGACCAAACCAGTCTGCACAATGTCCAGGTGAGTCCAGGTGAAATGAGTTACAGTAACCTATTTCCACTAGTGCCACTTAGTGTAGTGTCGGTATGGTCAGTGTTGGAATGGGTCAGTTCAGGTGCTTTTCCATTGACGTTCCAGTCCGGTTCCAGTGGATGTGTTTTGGGAGGTTGGTGGAGGTGGTTTGGGGTTTTTCGAAAAACGTTAATGCGCAAAATGAGACATGGAAACACATTTGTTGAATAACTTGAAATTTTAAAAATCTGCTAAAAATTCGAATTAAAATTGGATGGAAACACAACTAATGCCCCTTTTCCACTGGTGCCACTTAGTGTAGTGTCAGAACAGTCGGTGTAGGTACGGGTCGGACCGGTTGGTTTTCCACTGACGGTCCAGTCCGGTTCCAATGGGTGTGTTTTGGGCGGTTGGTGGAGGTGCTTTTTAGGTATTTTGAAAAAAAAATTAATGGGCAAAATGAGAGATGGAAACACATTTGATGAATAACTTTTGAAATTTTAAACATTTGCAAAAACTATCAGTGATGAACAGTGTTCTGACGTCGCATTTTGGTGTCAGCAGGGGCCGGTTGGAACCACAATGAAGTAGGTACTAAAACAAGTGCCGGTTCCAAGGATCTGGCCTAATGGAAATGGCTTGGAACTGCACCAACACTACACTAAGTGGCACTAGTAGAAAAGGGCCATTAATGTGCAAAATGAGAGATGGAAACACATTTGTTGAATAAGTTCTGAAATTTAAAAAATTCGCTAAAATTTTGAATTTAAATTGAATAGAAACACAACTAATGTCATTGCTACAACTGAAAAAACGGTGCCTCGAGTTGTTCTTGTAAAGGCAGTTCAGACGCAACCAATGACTGGCCCACCCCCTAGCCATTCAGTGACGAACAGTGTTCTTATGTTGCATTTTGGTGTCAACTGGGACCGCTTGGAACCACAATGAAGTAGGTACTAAAAAAAGTGCCAGTTCCATGAATCTGGCCTAATGGGAATGGCTTTGAATCGTACCGATACTACACAGGCACTAGTGGAAAAGGGGCATAAACTGAGTCAGCAAGTGACACGGGCCAAGAAGCTCACAGTTTCAAGACAACTTGTGTCCATGTGTGACAACAATCGCCTGCGTTCTCCACATGTCTGGACTCTAGAGCAGTGGTTCCCAAAGTTGGGGTCGGGACCCAAAGTGGGGTCCTGAAACATCAAGGTGGGGTCC